CGTATCCGCTGGTGTTCAGCCATTTTACCTCGCTGATCTAACTGTCCTTATCTGGTGGGGCCCAGGCATCGTGGGTTAAGGGCGAGGCTGCTTAACCCACGATGAACCTGAGGTCAGCAGTTCAATTCCCCCAGCTGCTCTGTGGGCGGTCTTGGTTCCCTTACAGACGTTCAGACACCCCGTGCACGGTTAGTTCTAAGCTGGACTGTGGGATCTCTATCCATCGGAACCAACTGTAAAATGGTAGCAGTAACACAGACCTCACTAGTTGTGTTATGAAGATTAGAAAATGTGTGTGTTTCTAATATGACAGGGTTAGTGGGTTGCGTGTTTCGCTGCCAACCACAAGGTTAGCAGTTCGAAACTACCAGCAGATCCAAAGGAGAAAGATGAAGCTTGTTACTCCCATAAAGAGTTATGGTCTCGGAAACCCATAGGGGCAGCTCTGCCCTGTCCTGTAGGGTCAGTAGGAGTGAATATCGACTTGATGGCAGTGACTGAGTGGGCAGTATATAGGTCTTGTGCTTGTATGTGGTATTATTGTCCATCCATGGAAACAAGCCCGTGTAGGGCTCTAGGAACATTGGCTCACGTCCATCTCTTGTCCTAAGTCATGAAGCCCAAATAGCTCTGAAACATGGACTTGCTTCGTGGGTTCAGACTCATTTGATGCCCAGACGGGGCCTGAACCAACACGAGTCCATTTATCATTTGTGTTTATCTCACCCAGAGTGAGTATTCATGTTCCACGGATACAGGTTAATGCATTTGATTCTAGACGTCTGCCCCAGGCCCAACTGGGGTTGTTCATAATATGTCTTAAATACAAGGCCTATGCACTATGTTTTGAAAATCCAAGAAATTGTGAATCCCAAATCCCATCTGGCCCCAGAGTTTCAGATGACAGAGTGTATTGGTAAGAAACCCAAACCAAGCCTGTGGCCAAACAGCGACCCTCTAGGACAGAGTAGGATTGCACGACAAGGGGTCCAAAGCTGTGACAAAGCCAACTGCCCTATCTTCCTTCCACAGGCCAGCTGGGGAGCTGTCAAGTGCTGAACACACACACCCTACCACTACCACCAGACACTCCCCAGGCTCCTTGGATCAGTAATCGAAGCAACACTTTATTTGGCACAGAAAATAAATCATTTCTGTTTACGATGACCATTGTTGGGACTCAGTTTGGGTACATGTAAGAGAAAAGTCAAGAAGTCCCTTTCTCTCTGGAGTCCAGAGGCAGGCAGGCAGTTGGGGTAGTACGTAAGATGTAAGCTGCTTCTCCCTCTCCTCTGCCATCCTTAATACCATCCGGCCTCCCACTTCGGGGCTGTCTCATGGTCTCATGATAGTTGCTGCAGTGCCAGCCATCACAGTTGCATCCACAGCAGGAAGAAGGAGGTGGGGAGAGGGAGCGTGTAAAAGACCCCTCTCTGTAGTGGAGCCAGCCGGTATTCCAGAGCATGCCCCCTCCAGGGCCTGGGCTTACCACTTCCCCTGGCCATCTCAAGCTGAGAGACTGGCAGGACTGTAGTCTTCTCTCTGGGTGCTTTGCTACCCTCGATGTTGGTAGGGAGGTTCTGTTACTAAGGACAAGGGAGAGGGGGGATGGATGTTGGGTCCGAAAATGTTAATCGCCATGCAAAGCGGTTGGAAATGGAGGGTGCCTGACCTAGAATGATGCTCATCTTCCTGAATTGCATAGCTCTTTCGAGCAGGGAATAATTCCTTTCGGGGGTAGAAATGTTCCTTCTAAGAGCCCCTGGTGGCTCGGTGGTTAAAACGCTCAACTGCTAACCCAAAGGTTGATGTTTGGAAGCCCACCCGCCGCTCCTCAGGAGAAAGATGGACGACGGGCTGCTCCTAGAAGATGTAGAACCTCCAGCTCGCCAGGTCGGCATCCACTCGACAGCAGTGGATTTCATGCCCCTTACACACAGAGCACAGCTCTCCCCATCAGCTATGAAAAACTCCTCAGAGGAGAGCAGGGAACGCATTCGTTTTATCTTTTATTGTTGGAGAACCCATTTGCCATGAATGAAATCAATACCGTCCTCTTTTGCCCTTTAGGGTTCTACAATCCCAATTAACCAAGCCCGCCCCAATCGCAACCTGACCTTCACCAAGAAGGAGCCACTTGGGTAAGACGAGAGGATCCCCGCTGAGCGACCCGAGTGGGCCAGGTTGGCTTGAGGCAAGTAAGCTCGTCTTCTTTCTTCCCCTGCAGCGTCTGCGCCATCATCATCCCCTGGAATTACCCGCTGATGATGCTGGCCTGGAAGAGCGCAGCCTGTTTGGCGGCAGGCAACACCTTGGTGCTCAAGCCCGCACAGGTAAACCGCCGGGGGCACCGGAGGGTGCCATCTCCCCGCCTCCCACAGCCTCAAGAACACCGTATCAACATTAGATCTTTAGTCAGCAGTGGGCGTGCATATCCTAACCCCCATCACATATCATAGATGTCTACTCGTCTTAGCATTCATTTTAATAGCATTGTGCAGGAGCCCTGCTGGCTTACATGGTGGGCTGCTAACGTTAAGGTCATCTGTTCAAATCTACCTGCTGCTCCAAGGGATAAAAAAGAGGCTTTCTACTCCTGTAAAGATTTACAGCCTCAAAAACCTGAAGGGGCACCTCTGCTCTGTCCTACAGGGTCCCTGTGGGTCGGAGTCAACTTAGTGGCAGTGATTTTTTTTATTTCATTGGTTTGAGTTGAAGCCGGGGCGCTGATATTTTTAAGAAGGTTCGTATTTAAGATACAGTCGGGAGTGAGATGGGATCTAGTGAGAGTGCTAATCAATCCTCCAGCGGTTATTTTCCAAGAATTACAACCACGCGCTGAGTGCCTCATAGTTGTCAGGTCCCTGGGCTGAGCACACATCGGGGAACCGAGATGTAGCCTGCCTGTCTCTGTGGAAGTGAAAGTGGAGCTTTGTCTGCAACTGAACATTTTTAGTTCAGTGGGTTGACGACAGTCTTAATCCCGAGAAGACCCGACTGTCGCCCTGGTTGGGTTGGAGTTGCCCTTTCATTTTACTGGATGGTGTCAGCAAGCGAAGTCGTGAAATCATGCCCAGGCCAGGGCCCTGTGCCTGCCGGGAGGACTGACTCCACGGCGGCGCTTCCTAGTTAACCTGGTTGCCCTGGTTATGTGGATGAGAGAGAGGGTCCTTCCTGACTTTACGGACCCGCACAGAGTCTCAGTGTCTGCAGTGAACTGGCCCAGGTCTGGCAAGGTCATTAACTTAATATGTAGCAACGACTTATGCTTTCCCAGAACAGTGTTAAGTACGTTTCCATAACAGCACTGAGGTCTGTCACATTGCTGGGGTAACTGGAGAGCTAAATGCAGGGGGGGCGCACGGAAGGTTGGATCAGGATCTTGCATCATATACCAGGATTCATTTCATGTGGATCAAAGATGGAATATTAAAAAATAAAATTATGAAAGAACTAGTGAAAACTAGGTTGACGTGCGTTTTACTGACTCCGCAAAGGCATTTGACCGTGTAGATCATAAGACACTGTGGAGCGCATTGAGAAGAATGGCAGTCCCAGCACACTTCCTTGGGTTCATGGGGAACCTGTTCAAACCAAACAAAGAAGTACTGCCTGGTTTAAACTCAGGAAAGGTATGTGTCGGGGCTGGATCCTCTCAACATCTGTATCAGTCTCTTGCTAAACACATCATCAGAGAAGCTGGATTAGATGAAGAAGAGTCCGCATCAGGGTAAGAGGAAGGCCTGTGAACAACCTGCGATACACAGGTGACACGACCTTGCTTGCTGAAAGTGAGGAGGACTTGATGCACTTGTGATGAAGATCAAGCTGCTGATGAAGATCAAGTTGCTGATGAAGATCAAGATGCACTTGCTGATGAAGATCGAGGATCGCAGCCCTCAGGACAGATCACAGTTCAATGTAAAGGAAACAAAATCTCCACGAACGACTAAGAGGTAGCATCATGTTAAATAGAGATCGCAGCTGTCAAGGGTTTCATCTTGCTTGGGTCCACAGTCGGTGCTCATGGAAGCAGCAGTCAGGAGCTCAAACAATGTATGGCATTGGGTAAATCCGCTCTACAAGGTCTCTTTAAAGTCTTGAAGAGCAAGGATCTCACTTTGAGGCCTGAGGTGCACCTGACCCAAGCCATGGTATTCTCCATTGCCTCACGTGCATGTGGAAGGAAGAAGGAGGAGCGAAGAAGAATGTATGTGTTTGAATTATGGTGCTAGTGAATACTATTGAAAAGTACTGCCAATAGGATGAACAAATCTGTCTTGGGAGAGGTACAGCCAGAATGCTCGGCAGCTAGAAGCAAGGACGGCAAGGCTTCATCTCACGCACTTTGGACATGTTATTAGGAGAGACCAGTCCCTGGAGAAGGACATCGTGCTTGGTAAAGTAGAGGGCGGTGAAAAAGAGGAAGACCCCTGACCAGATAGACGGACACAGTGCCTGAAACCATGGGCCCAGACACAACTGTGAGGATGACGCGGGACTGGGTGGCGTTTCACTCTATTGTACGTAGGCTTGCTGTGAGCCACCGACCCGAACAAGAACAAGAAAAACCATAGGCCATTGCTTTGGGCATGGGAACATGGGAGTCGAGTCTCTAAACAAGACATGACACACACTGGGAATGGACACTCAAGCCCGTGGTTTTAGGGGGCACCCGGGTCAATGGCATAACAACGTCCCCAGGGTTCTGTATCACAGGTTCCCAGCTGCTTTGGCCCACCTCGAGGGCAGTGCGTTAGTCCGGTCTAGGACTTTGGCAGTCCATTCTGTGTGGGACAACCTGGTGAAAGGCTTTGCCGTATTGTGAGCATGACCAAAAGGCGACATGTACGAAGCGAACACAAGCTGTAGGGGATTTCGTACTGGTACACCTGCTCGAGGCGGGGTTGCCAAAAGTCTCCATTGGCAAGAAACGCAGTTAGGGATGAAGCGCTACAAAGAGAAGCAGGGCAAACGCAGTGTGTCTGCATAGGAATTTTGGGTACTCAGTGCTACCATACCAAGCCGGCTAGCCCGGAAAGTACGTACACTGGTACAGAGAAGAGCTCTCGGCACACGGAGTCCAGGACAGATGAACCCCTCAGGAACAGTAGTGGGAGTAGTGATAGCATGCGGGTAGGGGGATGGCTGGGGCGGGGGGGGGGGGGAGAAGGGCGGCGCAAAAAGGGGGAACCCATCACAAGGATGGATATATAGCCACCCCCCACCTCCCCGAAGGGGACAGATAACAGACATGTGGGTGAAGGGAGACAATGGACCGTGTAAGATATGAAATCATAACAATTTATCATCGATTAAGGATTCACGAGGATGGAGAGGGAGGGGGGGAAAAGGAGCTTATAGGAAATGTTTTGGAAATGATGATGGCAACATATGTACAAGTGTACTTGATACAATTGAATCATGGATTGTTATAAGATCTGTATGAGCCCCCAATAAAGTAACTAAAAAAAAAGAATTTGGTGTACTATCTTTGCCAACTTTGCTATCAGTTGGGAACAACATAAAAATCTTAAAAATGAATAAAACAAAGGTAAAATGCAAAATCACAGGCACTCTTGGGCAGCTGTAAAGTGAACACTGAGATTCTGACGAAGGTCATTATTATCTGTGTTTGTTCAGGTGACACCCTTAACGGCCTTGAAGTTTGCCGAGCTCTCTGTTCGAGCGGGCTTCCCCAGAGGGGTCATCAACATAATCCCGGGCTCAGGTAAACCATTCAGTGCCCTCTAGGGCTGGAAGCAGAGAAGGTACATGTTCACCGAGTGGCTCTTTGCCCATTGCTGCCCTGTCCTGACTGCTAACTACAGCACAACTAAGTATCGTTTACCCAAACAGTGGACTTACATCAGTCTACTGACGGCGTGCTGAAAGGGGAGCCATCCTGGGTGGAGGTGCAGACTGCTTGTTTCCATTTTCAAAAAACACTCCCAAAGAGAACCAGCCAAGGCTGGCCCATCATCTCTTGTCACATTAAATGTTTGTCCGTTTGCAATCGATAGGGGCAGTGTGATGCTTCCTGTGTCAAAGAGAGCTTAGAAATCAGTGTACTTCAATGAACTCATGTCCCTTCTAGCCATAAGCAGGACTCGAATTACATTTTCGTTTGTATTTGATTCTCTTCTCCGGCAGGAGGTGTTGCTGGGCAACGCCTTTCTGAACACCCAGATGTGCGCAAGCTCGGCTTCACTGGGTCCACGCTGATTGGCAAACAGATCATGAAGAGGTATTGGCTTGAGTGTGGCTCTTGACTGTAGATCCTCTTAACAGATTTGCTAAAAATAGGGTGATTTGGGGAGGAGACTAACCATCTCCAAAGCAGAAGAGAAATTTATCACTGCTGGGTACCAAAATCGAGCAAAATACTTGCCCAAACGTTCAATCCCGGTCTGTAGAACTAGAATGATGTCAAAATTTGACACTCCACTGCTGACTTGAAAATTCCAGTACATGCATACATGGGAATCCTCTATTTATGTATTTTTGCACATCCCCAGATAGTTTTTGGAGCATGGATCACAAGTTAAATGGACATATAAACGACAAATCTGGATGATTTATAAAACAAACTCATGAACTCCTAAAAAAGCACAACATTAATATCTTGAAGGTTGAAAATATTGTAAGCATCCAAAATAAAATAGTGAGCTAAAGTATGCTCATGGAATGGAAGATTATGTGGCAATTATGTTTATGGCATGGGCTAACTAACGACAAACAGTTGTTAAAATGGAAAGAGGAGTAAAGCATAAGATTGTATATACCAGATGATCTCAACTATATTAAACAAAGCAAAAGCGATGTTAGTACACAGACCCTAAATAAATATATCAAAATGGCATATATATGTGTGTATGTATATATATATCTGAGCCATAGAATAGAATCATGTGCCTCTTTTTTTTAAGGTTCCCTTCTTACACTTTTAATGCAATATTTTTAAAAAACATTTTTATTGACTCTTCATACAATCCAATGGTTGGGTCATCTGAAGAAGAGCTGTACAATTTTCACCACAATCAATTTTAGAACTTTTTCTTCTTCTTTGTATTCATTGTTTATTACTGTCATTTTTTAATTGTGGCAAAAATATACACAACAAGACATTCTCTAGTTCAACAACATCTACATGTATAATTCAGTGTCACTGATAATACTTTTTGTGTTGTGCAATTATTATTGATATCTTTTTCCAAATTATTCCACCACTACAAGCATAAATGCCCCCCAAGCAAAAACTCTTCCTCCTTCCCCCATAGTAACTACTAGTCAACTTTGGTTTCTTTGTTTTTATAAAAGAGTCACATGTCATACACTTCCAAAGCTAAGTCACTTTTAAAAAGAGCTGCCTATCCATCATCACAGTCAGTCCTAGTGCTCCCTCCCCCTCCTGCATACATTGTTTGCTCCCCAATTAGAGCGAGAATCCCTACATCTAAACAAACTGGGTTTTCCCATGAGCATCTGCAATTGTTGGACTACAGAGTTTTCCATAGCTTTTGTGAAAAGTGGGTTACACATTGGGCTGCTAGTCACACGGCCAGCAGTTCAAAACCACCACCTGCTCTGCAAGGGAAAACTGTGACTTTTTACTTCCATAAACAACTGAGTCTCAGAAGCCCACTGGGGCAGTTCTACCCTGTCCTATAGGGTCATTGTGAGTCAGCAACAACTTGATGGCAGTGACTTTTTTTTTTAGTGTTGTTACTACAATGTCAATCACAGTTTTTACCCTTAGATATAGTGTGATAGGCTTATTGTGCCGACCTGACCAATAGGAACATGTGGGATTAATCAGGTCACAGTTTGGTTAGGGGCGGGCAAAGAGATAAATGGCTCAGCAAGGCCCACCCCTCTCTCTCTTGCTCTCTGGTGATCGGACCAGCTTGTGGCGGCTTTAGCTAGTTCTCTGCCTCACCTTGTGAGCTACACTACCAGTGGGACAGCCAACCTGTGGATCGTGTTGCTAGAGCTTGAGGTTCCTTGAGACCCGCTTCGTCATGCTGCTGGTGTGTACACTGCTTGAGCTTGAGGCTGGTGGATCCTGTCATCTTATATTGCTTCAGTTAATATCCCATCAGAGCTTGCTTTGCTAAGTTCCTGAACTGCTGACTTGGTGACCCACCCTGCTGTTTGCTGCCTGTGGGCAGACTGCCTGCGTTGCCTAAGGGAAGGCTCAGCTGTCTGCTTCCTTGACCTTGGACACAGCAGCCCTCAAGAGTTGAAGGACTTCCAGTATATTAACTGTTCCACATAAGTGAGTTGAACTGAGCCCTCTGTACTGCTGTGTGGACTAATTAGCTGTTATATTCCTTTGTACTTTATAAATATATACATATGATTATATATATATATATATATAATCATAGGTGTCCTGGTTTTGTTTCTTTAGAGAACCCTGCCTAACACATACGGCATTATGTTTTTCATACCTGGTGGTAAATGTATGGTGGTAAAGACAAGTGAGCAAGCAAGACAGAGATGAATGCTGATCTTTTTCCCCCCAGCTGTGCTGTGAGCAACTTGAAGAAGGTTTCCCTGGAGCTTGGTGGCAAATCCCCACTCATCATTTTCAATGACTGCGAACTTGACAAGGCAGTGAGAATGGTAAGAGCGGGTCGCATCCAAGAAAACAGGTGCTACTTCTAACATATACATAAACATACATCAAAAGGTTCAAACAGTGTTCTGCCGGAGCTTCTGATTCCCTTTCCTTTCACTCCCCTCAACATAAAAGACCTTTGGTGGTTCAGTGGGTTACTCACTGGGCTGCGAATCAAAAGGTCAGCAGTTCAAACCCACCAGCCCCTCCACCAAAGATGAGGCTCTCTGCTCTCATAAAGATGTACAGCTTCGGAGACTTACAGGGGCAGATCTACGCTGTCCCGTAGAGTCACTGTGAGTCAGAATTGATTCAATGGCAGTGTGTTGTTGCATTGTGCCCCGCAACAGCTTACCCTGTCAACCTGAACAGCTCTGCTTCTAGCTGTTTTACAAAGTGGGTTTCTGTAAGATTGCTCGAAGCACACCAAGCATTCCTGGTGTTGGTAGATGCCGTCATGTTGGTTCTGACTCATAGCGACCCCGCATATAAGAAGAACGAAACAGAGCCAGGTCTGCTCCATCTTCACAGTTGTGCTTATGTTTGAGCCCATTAGTGCAGCCACTGTGTCCATCCATCTTGGATTAATAGGGTTGTAGCTGTTTCTTCTCAGTTGGAGTCATGCTTCTTCAGCAGATGGAGGCCCTGAAGGACTTACCCCCGAAGGCTTGATTCCAGCCGCATCATTATGGGTGGCTCTGCTTTGAGAAGGCAGCTCTGCCTCAGTCATATGCTGAGTGCCTTCTGACCTGAAGGCATCGTTTTCTGGCATCATCTCTGACAACGTCCTATTGCTGTCCATGAGGTCATCAGTATCTGACAACGTCCCACTGCTAGCCACACGTTCTACTGCTAGCCACAACGTTCCACTGCTAGCCACAATGTTCCACTGCTAGCCACAACGTTCCACTGCTAGCCACTGCTAGCCACATCGTTCCACTGCTAGCCACA